TTAAATTTCTACTCTTTGGCAGCCACCCAATCATTCTATCACAGCATCCTGTTTTAATCCTCTGCACAACACATCACTATCTGATATTTTTCTGGCTTATTTTTTATTGTCCTGCTCCACCAGAAAGTTCTATAAATCCAAGATCGTCACTGTCTATTTCGCCGTTTTTATCAATAATACAAGCACAAACCAGCTCAAATATTTGTATCCTCTTTAACAAAGCAATTTTCCTTAATTATATGTATTCAGAAGGAAGTGTGTTGTGAAAAGCTTTTTTAAAATGAGATAAATTTTAAGGGTTATATATGGTTTCCAAATACTATTTGTACGTATAGGGTATTTCACATGAGTGAATGATGATTAGTGAGGTGCCACATTGTGCAGTTGTTTCTAAAGGCATTTAAAAGGTGTCTGACCTTCTTGTGGTACTTCCTATTCCATAGGTGTTTTAGTGTTACTATCACCTCATACAGATAAAAAACAACAGCTTTAATAGATGTGCCAGAGTATAAATTCTACAAGCATGGACAAAGCTTTCTCTTGCAGTCCCTATAATGCCTAAGACACTTATGAGCAAAATAAATACTAGCCAACTGGTTTTTCTCACAGGGAAAGTAAAGGTAATTTGTGTAACATGGAACGTGATTAAGTATTCAAGTAACTTACCAGAATAAAAACCTGAAAATTCAAAAGTACTGATTTAACCTTGTTTTAGATGGAGCCTCCTGGGTCAGATGAAATGACCCACCCAAATAAGAGTCCTGTCTAACCTTGGTACAAAAGTGCAGTTTATAGAAGAGGTTAATGACTGTTCCAACAGTTTTCAAAATTTAGTCATGTACCTCAAACACTCCTAACCATCTTCCATAAACTATCATGGGTCTAGCACTAATACACTTACATTTAAAGTTATGCCACTCCATAAAACAAAGAGATCCAAGTTTATCTTTCAAGCCACAAGCCTTAATATTCTCTGGAATATGGTGAGGAACTCTACTGTCATTAAGACAACCTCCAGGTTCTAGAAACAACTATTTCCCCTTTCAGTGTGAGTCTTTCCACAGTTACTTTCTTAGTCTGCACTGTTCACAATAATCTAGACCAAGTCAATGTTAACCATTTTGGCTGACACATCATTTAGTGCCCAGCCTAAGTATGTCAGGTACATGTCTATTTCCATATCACAGTTCACTGAACAAACTGCCAACTGAACCAGGATCTCAAGATATTAAAAGGTGTAGTTTCAAGACCTTGCCAAAGCAATTAAGCTTTAACACTTATCCACAACCAGCCATTACCATCTGATAGTGAAGAGCCAGTGCAACAGAGTCAAAAACTTGCCCAAAGGAACTTAAACTTTTACTATGCTCTATGCAAGGAATGTGCATTCTTCTGCGTACACAGTAAGGCATTAAAAGGAGGGAGGGGACCCCATGTAAGAATACACAGAACTGCAGAACACATTACAGATTCACAGGGAGAACCAGTTAACATGTGTTTTATGTACTTCCTCATAATGGCCTACCTAATGTTTTACACTGACAAGTTAAATAGTGTAATTTAAATGCTGGCACAGGTTCTGAACAAGGTGAATATTAGTATGTTTTAGAAGTGACTCTAACATAGCCTAATGAGTTCCTTTCCCTTTCCAAATCTTTTGAAATCACACTTTGCTCTAATACCACAGGCTCTAACGTAGAGGACAACTTGAGTTTGCAAGGAGGCTCTGCCACACCTTGGGTGTGCTACTTACTTTTAACTCAGTAAACTTTAATGTCCTCATCTGTAAAAAAAAGCATAATAATATTCCCTGCCAGATGGAGTTGATGTGAGGACACTACACGTCAAGTGTTGTATTAAGGACAGGACTCAAGTATTAGTTATTACCATCCTCATCAGATTCCAGTAGTTTGTCCCTAAACTAATCGTTTGGTGGGAGACACATCTAACAATACTCTTTCCTCATTAGTTATGTTGCACTAATCTGCTCTATGCCACAATTTTGTCCCTGCATATTTGCTTAACTTCCATATCACAGGTTACAAAAGCTTTATTTACCATCCTAACCCAGATAAAAGGTGATTTTACTATAGTCTGACTTTAGGTCTGGCAATAACCTACTACGAAAAGCACAACTGCATTCAACATAACCTTCTTCACTGAAGAAAGTACCAACAGTATATATGTTTACACAATTCCTAAAGATTCATAATCACTTAGAATTAACTGATATTTTAGAGCAAATGAAAATTTAATTATTTTTAAAGTTTAAAGAAAATGGTTCCTATGGCCGGCCGAGTGGCTCTGTTGGTTAAGAATTCGCTCAAGAATGCGAGCTCTGAACAACAGCAGTTCGATTCCCGGCCCTAGCTGAGTTGCCAACAGGCAGGCAGGATGGCTCAGCTGAAAAATAAAACAAAAGCCAAAACAAACAAGCAAGCAAANGTTTGGCAGTATGTATACACTGGCAAATTCCATTGCTAGGTATAAATATCCATGAAAAATGCAAAATGTGTTCACAACAAGCCTAGTACAGACGTGTTCGTAGCGGCTCTGTTTAACCCTAAACATTTGGAAAACCCTAAATATCTGGAAAACCCTAAATATTTACCAGAAGGAAAATAGATAAACTGTAACAAATGAATTTTGCAGATATTATGCTGAGTGAAAAGAGCCAGACACAAAAGAGCACACATTGTATAAGAATAATTTATATGAAGCTTTAGAACAGGCAAGACTAATCTATTGTTATAGAATCCACAAAGTGGGGTGAGATGATGGGAAAGGGGCATGAGGGAACTTTCTGGGGGAATGAAAATGTTCTAAATCTTGATGCGACTTTGGGCTATGTGAGTGTGATCTCTTGTGAAAATTCATTGCCCTGCACACTTAAGATCTGTAACTGCACTGAATGTAAATCATACAATAAAAGGTACTGCAAGACTTAGACCTTTAATGTAATGAATGTCAAGAAGGGGACGTAGCACAGGATTTCCTGAGCTAATCTGAGCCTTGTTGGGGGAGTGTACGCAGGGAGTGTCTCCTGCCAAGTCTGTGAACTGGGAACAGGTGGCCACTTGGAGTCAGGAGCCATAGGAGTCCTTGTGCCTCGTGGACTACTGCCGCATGAGAGAGCCACGGCACCTGCCCCCCACCCACCTACTCCCACAGCTCCTACTAAGGGGACCTCAGGGTGTCCACGAGGGACTAGGCTGGAATAACCAACAGTAATAGAGAAGAATTTTCTGGCATGGCAGGAGATGCCACTGCTGGGTCCAGACCCCCTCATGCTTTCCCTCTGCGGTGGTTGTGGGGTCCTAGCCCCTCTGTCCTGAGCAGGCCTCCCAGGCCCCTCACTGACTCAGCATGCAGTCATAACCCAGGAAAGCCCAGGCACGGAGGCCAGGCGAGATGCCTAGATTTGGGGGGCTCCCTGGGCTTTGGTGGGTAAACTGGTCCCAGAATTATCTGGGTGGGTCACAAGCTGTNTTCAAAATCAAGTAGTTATGAAATAAAAATCACTGTAAAGCGTACAAAACCAAGTCTCATACGTGTTTCTTATTTGGGGATCCCTGGAAATTCTTTTACCCTTAAAAAGGCTTATAACTCAAACTCAAGTATGAGAAGTACTACTCTAACTGGAAAAGAAGAAATCATGGAAACCCCAATGTCATGTGGAGATTTTGAATAGGTATTATCAGTCAGGACTCTTTCCATCACACCATAAATACCCTAAAAGACTCTATGCCAATGCATGTGTGTACAGGTGCCTTGTTATACATAATTATCCTTTTATGCTACAGCAGGGGAGATATAAAAAGTGTCATCCTTTGGGCGGTTGGGGGGGTGGGGGGTGAAAGGCGAATTGTAAGAAGAAAAGAATTCTTTCTTTCCAAATTAAGTATATGTAGGGAAAGAAGTTGAATGGAGACCTACAAAAGTATGGGAAGTGGGAATGTTCAAAGAGTGTCCTGGAGACTGTGGAATGAGAAATCAGTCCAGGGCAGCCAGGGTTTAAGAGCACTGCCAGTCATGAGGACAGAAAGGTGACTGAGGACTTCAGTTCCAATATCAGGAAAAGGAGGCTAAACCTTACTTTACTGCTGAAAGTAAAGTGAGTTTGCTTTTTTTTTGGGGGGGGGGTTGTTTTTTAAATAAAACAATGCTTAATAAGGATTTATCTGGGTGCAAGGTCCAGACTGATAGGAGCAACACAGTTTATTACAAAAGTCCCTGGTGAGAAAAGAACCTGAACTAAAGTGAAGTGTTTATAAACACCCCTTTCTTTGGGGGCGTGTACAAAAAAATTCATGAGCCATCTTTTATTGAAAGTGAACTCATCGCTTTCAAAATCTTGTAACATCCGAATCATATTTAACCAAGGTTTATAAACGCAGGCTCCCCACCCCCATAACCAAACAGTTTGGTTTTCTGGGTCAAAGGATTATTTGGCTTATCGAGTCGAAACCTTTCCGTTTTCTGGGCTGGTAACCAAACGCCGACCAGTCCTCCATACAGAAAGAGCTTTAAGTCCAAGTCCTCGCTCGAGTCGGCAGCGTCCCGGAACAGCTCACACGCCTCGGGACTGGCCTGGGGCTGCGGGGGCACCGGGTCCTGACTAAGAAAGCGGAGCCTGACCCTTTGGGGAACATCTGTTTCCAGCCTGAAGTCCTGAGCAAATCTGCAGTGAGAGCTCCCAGTCAAGGAGGCTGCTCCAGGAGGACGGACGGGGTCTTGGCCCAGCCTCCCTCGCGGAGCCCCCGGCCCGGAGCGCTGAGGCCGCCTGACTCCCCCGAGGGCTTCCCCTCAGCGCCCTCCAAGTCCCGGCCCCCGTCCGGGCCTGGGAAGGGTCTCCCCACCCTCCCTCCGCTGGACTCCGTCGCCCGGACACTGGCTGGCTTCCGCGGCCCCCGTCAGGCCCCGCGGGCGCCTCGGGCGAGGCCTCACCGGGCCTCGCCGCTCGCCCCTCTCGCCCTTCCCGGCCGCCGGCCCCCGCTCACCCAGAAGATGAGGTTGAGAAACACCAGCACGGTCTTGGAGGAGGTGATGCCGCACTGGCCCATGGTGGCAGCGGTCGCTGGGGCCTTGCTCCGAGAGCCAGACGAGCACACCCAGCGAGGCCGCAATGGCGACAACGCCTCCCCGCTGGGAACTGCAGGACCTCTGCGCCTCTCTGCCAGCCCCCGGCGTAGCTGCGCAGCCCCGGCCCCAGCAAGCACCTCGCTCCTCTGCGCAGCCGCTGCAGTACCCCCATGACCGCCACACCGCTCCCTAGCAACCGAGTCCCGCCCCTGGACAGGCAGCTTCANGGCAATACTACCAAAGTCAGAAGCAAAAACTCCCCTGTGGGAGAGATGCCCCAGCCCTAGGTAATGGCTCCATAACCTGGACAATGTATCTAAGACAAAACAAAGGAAGGAGAGGGAGAGAAAAGACAGAGATATAGACCAACACTTTGAAGTTGCTTACAAGAGGAGGTGACCTGTAGTAAAATGTGAGTGGGATGTTGGAGCCAGGCTGGAAAGTCAAGGAAAGGCATTTTGGAGATAATGAGTATTGGAGCAAGAATAGAATTACAACAGAAATTTGCAGAAGAATTGAATAAAGTGTGAGAGACAGAGAAAAGAGCAAATGGGAAGTGTGATTCTCAGAGGCAGGCCCAGAGAAGCCCCAAGGCCAAGGTAGGGCAGGAATCCATGGGGCAGTAAGCATGCAGTAAGAATGAGGATGGGAGTGTATTCTCCAGGAGCCAGGGTTAAAGAGAGGGAGGCAGAGGGTAAAGATGGGAAGAACTCAAGCAGAGAAGCCAAACACAGCCTCCCCCAAGGCCATGGATGCAGTCAGAGGGAAAGGGAAACGGCCTGTTCTGGGTCCACAGCCCTTGGCGTGGCCCTAGGACCCTCCAGGGTGTGGAGATGGGCCCAGCTGTGCTAAGACAGGCAGGGAGGTGGGGATAAGGAGGCTTTGCCAGCTTTCATGTTTTCACAGCCACCAACTCAGCAGGTGGAGCAATTGCTAAGCAAGAGAAAAATAAGAAGAATGGTTTGAACTGGTTGAGAAACCTATTTCTGAACTTCTTAGGGAAGAGCCCCAGGGAAGCTGACGAGGGGCAGCGGCCAGCAGGCCTTGGGGGTAAGATAATGATGATGGGCTTTGATCCCCGCCATGGCCAAACCTTAGACTGATGCTTCAGTACTCCTGCAGACACTGGTCAAAGCCTCACTTCCTCCATTCTCCCCACCAGCAGCAAGACCAGAAATGGCTCCTGGTACTGCTGCTCTGTTGTCTTCCATAAAATGACCTGGCCTCTGGGGCCTGCTTCATCCCTGGCCAGGTTCAGCTGGCTTCCAATGAACTAAGTTGCTAGGCCCAAGGGTTCCCTGAAAGACAGTCTCCTGTTTTGGGTTCCCCCTTACCTGTGTAGGGTTTATACAGTGTAGGCCCTTCTCTTTCCCCAGGGTTGCAGCTCCATGAGGGAGTAAGGCCCCTTGCATTCAGTGTTTGCCCCAGCCTGTCATAGGCTCCTCCTCATCTCTCTCTCTCTTTTCTACTTCCCAGCCCAGGAGAGTCCCTGCTCCTCCCCATAGCATGTGGCTCACAGCAGACATGGCTTCACATGGCTAAGCACTGCTGTTGATAGTTTGGATGAAGAAGGGGCCTCATACTGAACCTGACAAGCTTGGGGGAGGCCCACATGGCAGGCCCTACAAACTCAGAGACCAAAAATAACCACACAGGATAGTCTGAACATAAAGACACAAATTTGACAGTTGGGTCAAGAGTCTGTCCTCAACTCCTGTGTGACCTCTCTGAGTTTTAGTTTCTCATTTGTGGGACAAGGGGATTGGACCAGATGATACTCCAAGTTACCTTCGGTCTCTAAAGAGGGAAAAAGGAAAGTGCAGTGAGAAAAAGCATTGAACTAGGAATGGGGAGACTTAGTTTCAAGTGCCTCTTCTCTCATATCCTTGCTATTGGGCCTTATCAGGCCATGTGACCTCTGTAAGTCTCAGTTTCCTCTACCAGAAAATGGGGATAATACCCCCTGCAGATTGCTGCAAGAGTTAAGTAAACTCATGTGCATAAAAGGGCCTTGTCGACTATCCTGTAGGCACAGGTGTGAGAGGTACTGCCTCTATAGAATGAGGGCATAACCCCTTCCTTGTCCCTGTCAGGATGACTGTGAGGGCAAATGAGATAGTGCAGGCCTGGTACAGCAGTGGCCCTGGACCGGGACACAGAGCTGAGGTTTCCCACTTGCTGACTGTGTGGCTCTCACCCAGGGTCCCTCTCTCTGGGCTACCACTGAGTATCATCTATGGCCTGGCAATGATAAAGCCTGCCTGACAGGTTGTAAAGAGGATAGATGAGAAGTGTTGTGTGGATGGTGTGGTGATTTTCGGTGAGAGCAGTGATGAGTGGACTGTTCCTGGTTGCCCAGCTTCTGCTTTGAGAGCCCCAGCAGGAGGGGACAGGCTATGACATTAATGAAGGTCTCTCACACAGGCCCCCTCCAAAGCACTGGGAAGGTCCTAGCCATGCATTTACATGGGCAATGTTTCTATAAAATGGACAGAACTAAAATGTTTCAATGAAGACCATCTTCACATTCTCTGTCCTATTTCCACTTATGTTGGATGGCATTGGATGGCCGTGGGCATCTTTGGGACTTGGCTAAGGGGAAGGTGAGTCGAAGATACATTTACTGTACTTGGTTTAGTGGGATATATTTATGTTATTTATAGTCATCTTGTTTATATCTGTCTATAATTAAATCATTGCTGGTCATTCTGGCAATAATACTCCTCCCCAGCATGTCAACCCACCATCACCATGACACGAACCTGCAGGCCTGAGGCCATATTGAAATATGAATGNATAGAACAGCTGTAGGGTGGTCCTGGGGCTGATGGTCCTGGGGCAAGGCCCCTCTCTGACTAGACAGCTCGGCTCTGCTCCAGGCTGCTTACTCTGCTTAGCTTTGCCCTGCTCTGGCAAGAGGTCTTTGGTGCTTTTACCTCAATCTTCAATCTTCTGTGGAAAGGGAAAATATACTCTCCTAGCCAGTAGGAGCTAATGTAGAGAGAAGTCCCCTTCCTGATCCCTAATTGGTCTATTCCCATGCAAATGAGAAAAACACTGTCCTTTGGTCAGAATGGAGCTGCTCTGATGGGTCAGTGATGAATGTTAATAAGGAAACAGCTACACTACTCCAATTGAATGGGGAAAGTCTCAATCCTATTGGTTGAAATACAATTCCAGCAACTCCTTTATAAGGGCTGGTTCAGATGACAGAAACAGTGCAGGCAAGCAGGTCAGTGGTGGAGGCGGCAGTTTAATAAAGGCTTTTCCCTAAGTGCTGTTTGGTGGGATGCCCCTGTTTGAAATCCTGCTAGACTGTTTTTAAATTTGAGCCCAGTAGTCACCAGGAGTACTTCTTGAAGAAAGCTATCTTCTTTCTCAAGGTTGACACTCCCTAGGGAGATCGCAGACACTAATCTCTCCCACTCCACATCAAGATTTTCCTGACCAAGTAACACCTAAGCACTGTTCAGTAGAAGTGCAGTGAACACCAACAGATATTTATGGAGAATTTATTGTGTCAGGCACTAGGATAACTCTCGGAGGACTCATCAGAAAGGAGAGAAAGCTGGTGATGAGGTTGGCACGACAAAGACATGCTTGTGTGGGAACATGGTTGGGGATAAGGCAACACTCCAAGTCTATTCCAGGGTAGGACATTTTGGACCAAGACTTAGAACAATTACAGAAACATCTTTTTACATTGCAACATTTCACAGACTTCCCCCAATCTTGGATCATCATAGTAATTAACACTTTTTGAGAACTTACCCTATGGCAGACTCTTTATGGCTATTAGCTCATTTAACCCCGTCACAACCTTAGGTGGAAGGTACTACAGTTATCAGCCCACGATGGATTAACTGAGGCTTAGAAAGAGGAAGAAACTCACCCAGAACCACACAGGGAGCAGGCAGTCTTGTGCAGAAACCATGTTCTCAGCCAAATGGAGAAACTGCCTTGTTTACTGTCTTTCCTGGAATTGTAACCCCGCATTCCCTCGTTGATTGGGCCTTAACGATGCCCCCTTACTTGTCTTCAATCTTCTCATTCTCTCTGGCTAATCCCCTTCCCAGACACTCTTAGCAACACCTTTCCTCTCAGCATCCCAGTCACTTCTACCAAGCAGCCACAGGCATTTACCCACTCATCAGGCTCAGCAAGCACTACCTCTGTGCTCACTGCCCTAGGTGGTAGGTATTTCACAGTGAGCAAGACAAAACCTTGCTCCCGTGGAGCTTACATTCTGGTAGAGGAGGCAGACTTTAGACAAATGGGCAAGTAGGTTTATGGCATGATATTGGGTAGTGATAGAAAACAATTCAGAGGAAGGGGATAGAGAGTGATGAGGGAAGTCCTGTCTGAGGGGAGGCATTGAAGGAGACCTAATGAAGTGAAGGAGCAGACCATGTGAATATTTGGAGGAAGAACAGCCCATAGGTGGGAACAGTGGGTACAAAGGCCCTGAGGCAGGAACATNTATACCTTTTCTATGCTAAAGACTAACTTAGCTTAACTGAGTCCAAATCCCTCCACCCTCAATGACTGAAACCAAGGCCTGAGTCTCTACATAATTGCCCAAAGGATGGTTACCATGACCACCCAACAATTATTCTAAAAACTATTGTCTAAGCAGGATCTTAAGATTTACAGGGTGTGTACTTTGACCTTTACTAAAAGACTAGTAGTGTGACTAAAATTTCCTTTAGTATATAAAATATAATTATTGTGATATATCTATTAGAAGGGGAATTTAAATTTTTTAAGATATAAAGCAGTATCTGTTTCTGAGTCAGAGCTTCAGAATTTGTCACAATTGCAGTGCACTTGGCCATGTCAGATACTGAGGTGCAGCCGGCTCCCAACACTAGTCTTTAGAGAATTCTTCCACCATCCAAACATAGGACTCATTTCTCATGGATGCCTAGTCAAAATGGAAATTCTCTCCTCTCAAAGAATATACTTCTGTTAAAGAATATACTCAATAATGTTGCATGTACAACTAATGCACCACATATTTTGTCTCTCTTTAATGGGAGTCATACAAAATAAGATTTATCAGAATTCCATTGTTTGTAGGGCTTGAGTACTGTAACAATCCCACAAGCAGTGGGTACTTTTGTGTGGGAATTGCATGTTTTATGCACCCCAGTACAT